TATATAGTATGAGATAGAGACTACATCTAGTGTGCTCTTGATTCAAAAGTGTGGATGGTAAAAGATAAATTTTCTTGAAGACCCAGAACAGGTATGAGAGGAAGCTACAGGGATAGGACACACAGTGAGGCTTTATTTTAGACCAATTGCCTATTTGCTTTTCAGCATCCATATATCCCTTTTTTGTCCTGAGAAGGCCTATTCAAGTGACTAACAATGTCACTCACAGCTTGTTAGTGTACAGTGTACCCGGTAGGTGTAAGAACTCAGCTTTGTTTTGCCCCTGCTCTTGAACAAAAGCTTCTCTTTTGCTAGCTTTCCAAATGTTCCTGGCCATTACGCAGGATTACATTAATTTTAAAACAAAATAAATTATGTACCTTTTGCAAAATAGAATTACAGGAAAAACCACAGACATAAACACATACACATGATGAACTGATATCACCCCGTCCCTTTTTCTCCATGCGGCAGAATTAAAGTCAACACCTTTGGCTACACAAGGGGCAGAATTGGCAGCTGCAGAGCCCAGATGTCAGGCACTGGATTGTATGTCCCTGGCAGCAGTCCTAAATTGGATGCTGTCTCCTGAACTGACCTCCGAAATGGCCTATTATCTGACTCTCTTTCTGGCCTGGGTATAACAAGCTGTCTTCCGTGGCCAGTTGAGAGTCAGCCCACTGATGGGTTGCTCTGGACGCAATTATCCTTTGCTTTACCTTTGATTGCAAAGAATTTATTTCCTTTGTAAGGGTGAAAATTGGGACTGGGCAAATTCTTGACAAAGAACTGTATTCAGTTTTCTCCCAAGCACAAAATAAGATATCTTTTGCTTTGATTGATTTGTCTCCCAACTGAAATGAGAGGAAATCAACTTTATGTTTTAGCAGACAGTGAGTATTTATGAATCAGAAGTAAAATTAAGAGTTTCTTGGGCAAGTCTCCCTCTGAGAGAAGACTGAATTTTCTTTTACTCCTTAAAACTATTAAAGGTTGAAGATGTAATTCATGTGTCTTTAGAAAATTAAAAAGTCATCATTTTATTGTTATGATCACTAAAAATATCTTTTACTACAGAGAGCTCTTTTCTGAGTTTTCTTAAAAAAGAAAATGACACTGTAATCCCATTTCTACACTACTGGCTGAAGAATGACACCATGTGTTGAGACGCAAATGTCTTGGCAGAAAAGTAGGATTAGGGGCTTTGTTTCTGACGCAATTCTGGTAGCCCTTCAGGAAAGGTCTGTGATCCATCAAGGTTCAGGATACACATTATGAGAAATGAGTCACTGGGTGATTTTCTGTTGTGTGACCATCATAGAGTAGACTTACACAAACCTAAATGGTCCAGCTTACTACACACCTGGGTTATATGATGTAGCCTACTGCGGCTAGGCTGCTGTGGTTAGTCTTGACTGTCAACTTGATTGGATTGAGAAAAGCCTAGCAAATTAGCAAAGCCCACTCCCGAGCGTGTCTACTAGCATTTCCAGAGATGACTGGATCAGGAAGGCTCTAACTTCCATGGATTAATGAAATAGTCATTTGATAGTGTTGCTGGAGGTAACGGAACTTAGGAGGTAGGGTCTAGTTGAAAGGAGTAGGTCACAGGGGTGTTACCTGGGGGACTACATCTGGTTTCTGGCGTCTTCCTCTCTGGCTGTTTCCTTGCTGTGCTTCCTGGGTACCACAAGTGAACAATTTCATCCACCACAGACATCAGTCCTATTCTTTCTGCCTTCCAGCCAGCTGAACCATGGACTGAAACCTCTGAAGTCATGAGCTGAAATAAGCCTTTCCTCCTCCAAGGGGACTTTCTGAAGCATTTGGTCCCAGCAACAAAAATCTAACACAGCCACAAACCTATACAGCATGTTACTTTATTGAATACCAGAGACAATGCTAAGTATTTGGGCATCAACCCATAGTTAAGCAAAGAAAAGGTACAGTAAGAATACTGGGTAATCAAAATTTTCAGCTCCATTATAATCCAGTGAGACTATCATCATACTTGTACCCTGCTAGTAACGGAAACACTGCTATGCAGTTCAGGACTGTATGTACAGTTATAATCACTGTAAGCAGCAAGTTAAGGAGAAATATATCTGTTATTTATAGGAAGATACATTCTGAAGAAGTCATAGAATATAGTCTATCCCAACATCAGGTCAGGCATGGTGGCACACGCTTGTAATCCCAGCACTCAGGAGACTGAGGCAGGAGGATCATTGCGAGGTCGAGAACAGCCTGGACTACAAACTGAGCTCAAGGCCAGCCTGAATTGCATAGTGAGACCCTGTCTCAAAAAAGACAAAACAACAACAACAACAAAAAAAACAAAACAAAAAAAACCAACATCAGATGGCTCTCATCTCTGTATCATGCAAAATGTTTCAAATTTTATTAACTTTTATAAAAATGTATATATGCCTTTGGTCACCACTGATATAGACTTGAAAAAAGATTGAATATTCTTGAGCCCACACAAATGTAAATAATTAACTGATACATACATTAGGAAGAACAAATATCCCATGCAGAAGAATTCTAAATAATTTAAGTAATATGCCCCCTCAAAGGGCTGAAGCTTAATTCCCCATATTTTGAGAATGGGATATGCTTTGTGTTTTCATTCCAAAGAATAGGATATAAAAAGGTAGGAGGAAGTAATTTTACAGTAGAAAAACTTGGAAGGCTCTACAATGGCTAGGTGGCCAAGGTTAAGATCATCAGTAGTAAAGTCATTGTCGTGGCATGCACTCGTGATACGACATGACCTCACCGAAGAGAATGTCTCCTGCATAACTTCTCCAGTGAGTGATGTGAATACATCAGCTAGACCCAAACTGAGGAACAGTCTACGGACTGCCTGGCCAATATTTCTCAAAACTGTCAAGATCATAAAAACCAGAAAAGCCGAAGAGGGAAATATTTGAAGTCCAGAGATGTGTTGCACCAGAGAGGTTGCCAGAAGGAAAAAAGGATACTGGAGGAAAACTACGAAATCTGATTAGAGTGTGAAGTTTACTATACCAAAGTTGGTTCCTTGGTTGTGACAAGTGCACTACTGTAATATAGACGTTAACAAGAGGGAAAACTAGGTTATAGAATGCTCTACATGATCTTTGTAATTCTTTAAATTAAGACTGTTCTAAAATAGGTTGTCTCAATTTTTAAAAGATGCTTAACATGTTGCTATGTTGATTGCAGTAGTATTTCTATGCATGGATCAATACAACTTTCTCGCTTACACACACCTATCTAGAGAACCATATGGCATAGAGTCATTGTCCTGAAACATATATGTCATCTTTAGAGCCAATACAGTCAGAACTATTTCGAGAATCTTATATTTCTCTGTAATATTTAGGTCGTGCCCTCATAATAGGCCACAAATACTCAAAAGGTATGTTCACAGACCTCTATTTCTCAGATACTATTTTTCAAGTACCTACGTGCTACACTCACATTTCATGGGACTGTTATGAAGGACATGCAAGAGTCTCTGAAAGTAATATATTTGGTGCCAAATTCCTGAGGACAGTGTTCGATTACTGCTCAATTGCTGTGGTGGGACGTACAGGGGTGAAGTCAAGTACCATGGTTTTAGGACATGGACGACATTATTTCCTTAACTATCCCTCACCTGTCCTTCAGACTTATATGAAATCTCTGGGAAAGAGAAAAAAACATTATTCTGACTTCAATTGATTAGTTTATTTGAGGGAGAGAAAAAGGTGTTGAATCAATGAATGTTTACTTAAACTGCTATGTGGATTAATAAGAATCGTGCATTTATTAATGTTATAATTTCCAAAGTTAAACGAATGAAAATTAACCAAATAATAAACTGGCCAGAATTGCTTCTCTAGTTTTATTTGGGAAAGAATGCAAATGTCATTAAATAAACCTGGAAGAAAACTACGTGCAACTTCCTATTACACATTAGAGATAAGAATAAGATTGATTCAATCATGTATTTTGTATCTACTGTAATTTAAAACATAACATTATGGAAAAGGAAAATATGAGAATCCTTAGTTCTTGGTTCTTGATAATAAGAAAAAAATGTTCACTGTGGTATTTTAGCAAAGGCAGAAGAGTCACTTAATACAATTTAGGAATATTTTTCAAAGTAAAATACAGGGGTGCAAGGAATGTACAACTACCGTAGGTAGCTATTTTTCATGTTTGTCTTTATGCAGCTTGGTTGATATGCATTTTGCATTGTGTTATAGTGCTGCGTGTTTAGTTAGTAATGGGAATTGTAAGTCTTTTCCCCAGAACATCAGTAGCGTGGCAGGCACTAGGCTGCCAGGCATTTGACATACACCACTATTACCTAACACACTCTGCGAGGTACAGATAATTACTTTTAACAAGCCAAGGGACTGAGCACAGCAGAATTGAGAGGATAGATCCAAAGCCCTTTGGCTTGAAGGAGAGGAAGCTATCACAAACTCTGGCTAGCTTGAATGTCTGAATTCATACCATACAACTCTGTTATCATCATAATTATTAACAGCATTCAAGTAAATATTTCTTTATCACTGCGTAGGTGTTTTAAGTCATTTCATCTGGTTAGGCTTCAATTATCTCTTGGGTAAAACAGAGCTGGCGAGCTGATTTCTCATTTATTTTCAGTTTTAAAATAGTAACATTGATTTATATAGTATAAGGGCATTTAAACGGCCACTTTCACAACATTTTTGTTAAAAATAGGTCATGAACACCAGTCTTTACTAAATCTCGTGATGGTGAGGATCCATCTAGAGATGTTCATAGCATTTCTCTCAAATCCTTCTGGTCTGATTAAGCCAGGAATAACAATCTTACCATTTTTAAGGTTATTTCTTAAACATTTACATGTAATAGGAAAGGCATACTATACAAAATATACACTTTAATCTTTGCCTCTTATAGAATCAAAAACTTGCATTAAGAAATGAATAGTACAAAGAAAACCATTTTTATAGATCTGAAAATAATCAAAATATTCATTTATTTTAATTCATATTTATTTAAATATAACAATTCTGTAGACACATGAAAATACTTATACATATACTTATAACATGGTAAACATGAAAGCAAATGAAATGTGTATTTTAGACAAAATTTAACACATATATTAGACAAATTTACTATATGCTTACATTTAATTTTAAGAGTACACAGATGTTTGGAAAAGACAGGTATTCACTAAAAGTGCTACAAAATGTTCACATTTGTTGGTAAAAAGTATTATTTCCTAGACTGATGTTTTATGAAAAGGATGTAAAGATATAATTTAATCATTAATCTCCTATGATAACATTATTATAAATAAAACACATTTTTTCCAATAGAAATATTCCTTTAACTTTAAATAATATAATATCTTTACTAAAACCATCTCATATTTACTAAACATGCATAGCACATTAAAACTTGAATAATTTATGTACCTTTATGCACAGTGTTTAGTTTTGCTACGGCACTCCATTTTTACAAAAAAATAGACTTGAAATTTTGGCACAGAATAATAAATGATATTGCTACTAATCACCATAAATGTGACTTCAATTTTTCATGGGATAGAAAATTCACAATTTAACTCTTCCCTTTACAGTTTGTTGACCAGTGGCAGTTCCCCTCAGTTTTAGTTGGAATAAAAAATAGACATCCAAGAACTAAAAGTCATATCCAGGTATTTTGCCTACACTCTACTGGGAAACGAATCGAATTTAGAATTTGTAAAACATTTCCACCTGTAATGTGGCAACAAATTTCTGAGTAAGGGAGCCATGAGCAATAATGTCATCAGGAAATGTCTTTACCCAAGAGGCGGCGAGGCTGGAAATGAAATGGAGGCCTTTTCAGACACTAGAAATGCATGCGGTAGGAAGAGAAAATGCCAGCTGAGGCAGAAGCAGGAAGGTCTCCAAGAAGCTGGTTGCATAGCATGTTCAGAAGTGGGAAAGGGAAAAGAACAAAGGTGGAAACACAGTGATGATGGAGGGCGGGAAGAGCGGCTGCGGGTCTCAGAAAACTCAAGTGTATGCTCAGGAACCAGCTACTGAGTCTGAGTGCTTACAGTATTTCTGTATCAGCGAGCTATTGCTGTTGGTTAGAAGTTTCAAATGTCCTCAGCTGTGTGTCTACATGGAGACTGAAGAAATTAAGTTAACGGGAAACGTTTTTCTGAACTGATTCACACCCCGTGTGGAAGAGGGAGGAATACAATGAACTTCCCCCTCCTGCCAGCCAGGGAAGAGACTTCCCCCGCAACCTAGGCTCAGGCCGCAGGGTCTGGGAACGAAGGGAACGCCCCGGCTCTCTTCGCGGGTTGCAGTGTGGGGGATCAGATGCAGCAGCCTCTTCCTTCATACAGCCGTGATGGCTCCATTTTTATACTTATGATGTGAGGGAAGGGAAGTAGTCTGAAGGTCCATTTTTTATACATCTGTAATTGATTCTACAGAATAAAACAACGAACATGATGCTATTTTATTTGTTCAAAGGTCTTTGCTTCTCCGAGGGCCTTTAAAAGGGTGAAATGATAACACGATGCCAAATAAGTTAAAGGAAACAGGCAACCCTTTTTTTCTTTTTAAAGCTGTTAAGGAACACACAGACACAAAAGCTATGAATCACAAAGCACCGAGTTTTCCAGAGTGAAATCATACCAAAATCGTGATAAGTTTTCGCTGATGTCATAGGAGAGTAAATGGTCGGGAAGGTCACTCACGGTGCCCTGCACGGCCAGGATGTGCGGGGCCAAGGTGAAGGGCACGTCGCTCAGGAGCTCGGCCGTCAGCGTGCTGCTCTCCAGCGTCTGGCCTGCCCCACGGTCCGTCTCAGGGGCTCCTGTGACAGTCACGCTGGCTGAACTTCCCCTGCCGGCCTAAAACACACACACACACATATATATATATATATATTTAAAATATTTAACCGTATGAACTGTGAGGGTTAGTAGCAGTGAATGTGGCATCAATATACCCAAACAACTGAGAAATATGGAATATAGAAGTACTCCCAGATTTGAATGCAACTATTTACTTGAGAAATACATCCATTCAAGTATCTGCTAGGCTTTAAAATGAATCCTAAAGTCTACTCAAGACTGACCACTCATAGTTCCCTTGAACACGAGCTGGCGTTCTTGCTATTTCCCGAGTCCAGAAAACACCTACAAAGCCGATCTCTGCTTTTCCATATCCTGTGGATGTTTTCCGGCTCTGAAATACCCAGCATCCCTGTGAAACTTATATTACCAGACTCTAAAGTGATCTTGCCCGCTGCAAAGTGGTCATGGTGCAAACTGCCTAGGAAGCTAGGTGATCCCTGTATGTGTCTTGCTAAGTGCTGATCCACGTGTACTGTTCTTATCTCCAGTCAGACTTTAGGGCCCTTGAGGGCAGGCAGTCTAGTTGACAGACCCTTGTACTCCCCATCTGGCCGTCTTTACTGCTTTATCCCAATAGGTGCTCGAAACTTTACCTCCAATGTGTACCATGAGTACAGTTCACTTTCACTGGAAACATGTCACAAATATTATTCAAATACGAATAGGTATAATCTCTTCAACTTCTTTATAATGGGTATTTCCTGAAAAGGCATGCGCTAGGATGGTCACAATAGCCTTTATCACACGTCTGAGCTGGAAGCTACTTAAATATTCATCAGTAGCCCAATGGACAATAAACTAAACGTCTATTTTCTGCAATGAAAATGAAGGACCTGCCATTACAAACAGCTGAAATGTAACTTAAGCAGCTTAAGGGGGAAAAAAATTCCCTCTCATCCCCCCATCTCATGCAGAGAAATCCTGTCAGGTCCTTCAGGGCCTGGCCTCCGGTCGGAGTCTGACTTGTACCTGCGAGCCTGCCTTCACTCCTCTCCCACGGAAGGTCGCAGGGCGTTACTGTGCTCCCAGCTCTTTGTTTCTCAGACCTCTGCCCAGACACGGACAGGGCTCCTTCCTCCACTCCCTTCCAAGTGACGCCACTTTCTCAGAGGACCTTCCTGGCCGCCTTTTTGTAAAAATGCCTCATACCTCCCCACTTCCTCCATCCTGCACTTCCTCTCTCCCATCTGTTGTCTGCCTCTCCAGAGCCCTCAGGGTCTCGTTGTATGCTATGTTTATTCTGTTTACTGCCTTTGAGGTGTTGTATCTTCCCTGTTCACTGCTGTATTTTCAAAGCCTACATCAGTGCCTAGTGCTCAGAAAATATTTCTTAAGTGAATGAAAGCAGATAAGATTTGTGTCTGCCTGGAGCTTATATTCTAATAGTTATAAATGCTGACAGCTTTCCCTTGAAGTATAAAATATGTACAGAAAAGGGTGTATCACTAGTGTGTAGCTTGTTAGATTTTCATAAACTGAACACACAGGAGTAGTCAGGTGACAGCGCAGATGGCTTTGACCTGTTTTTGAATCTTAAATGAGTACAGTCACACAGTGTGAGCACTTCTGGTTTGAGTTTTTACAGCCAGTGTTATGTATATGAGATTCATCTACATTGTTGTGTGCTGGACGGAAAAATCGTGAAGGTCACACGGTTGCAGAGGCGATACTGTGAAGTTCTGAAACAATCACTCTGGTTGCTGGGTGGGCTGGAGAACGTGAAACGTGGATGGCCCATACAGAAAGCAAGAAGACAGCTGGGAACAGTGGTGACTGCGCAGTTTATTCGGGTTGTGACAGCAAACGTGAGATGAAACGGCCAAACTGTGAACAGGTTCTGAGAGCAAAACCAGCCAGATTTCCTGGCGGGTTGCACAGTGAGATGTGAGACCAGGGCACACTCAGGGATGAACCCTGAGCAATGAGGCTCACGGGGTCCCTATTTATAGCAGTGGAACAGCGCCTGGGAGGAATTCCGGGCGGGATAATCAAGAGCTCAGTTTTGGAAGAGTGAGGTGTTTGACAGGCAGCAGGTAGGGACATTGGTAGGCAAGGGGGTGGGAGTTGAGTCTGGAGCTGGATGAAAAAGTCTGGTGCAGAAAGTGGAACCAAACACCAGAATAACTTTTTGTAGATGCTGGAAGTGGGAAAAGAAATAGTGTCAATAGCTGAGAAGGGAAGGAGGGTCAAAATTTTTTTTTTGGTTTTCAAGCTGAAAGAAATAACAGATTATAAGTTAATGAGAAGATGCTCCTAAGAGAGAATTCATGGGGAATCTATAAAGAAGGAACTATCCTCTTCACAAAACACCCACAATACCTAGACTGCGGCCCTCAAGAAAGATTTGTCTAGTGAAGGACTTCACATGAATAAAGGCATGGAGTGCATCAGTCAGGAGTGGCCTTACAGTTCCTTGTGAAAATAACACCCGAGTACTTCTCTTAGGGCTGAAACTGTAAGAAATATGATCACATCTTGCAGTGACCAAGCTTATTCTAAAGATCTGTGTCTGCAGTGGGCAGATCCTGTCTCCTGAAACTGAACTGGGACTGCCAATGTTAAGGATCCTAGGGTCAGCCAAGAGCTCAGGTGTCAGTGAGGAATGATAACTATTCCAGACTATTGAAAGGGTTGTGCTAGGTCCTGGTGGGGTAGAAAAACTGAAAAGAAGCAACACATAAAATCCTCAAGGACAAATGTCCTTCGACCGTGGTTACCCACGAGCAGCATGGCCAAGTGGTTAGGAGCAACAGCTCCAGAAGTAGACTGTTGGGGCACAAATCCCGGGTCTCCTGCTTACTAACAAGCAAATGGCCTGCCTTGGATTAACCTCTGTGTACCTCAGTTTCTTCAGCTGTATAATGAGATCAATTGCTACCAGGAGTAAATGAGGTAATGTTTGCACAGAATAGTGCTTACTATGTGTGAAGTAAGTGCATTAATAAAAACTAGGAATGTCAGACGCCCTCCGGGCTTTGGAGAAAGTCTAGAATCCATTCACCCCTTTTGTGCAGACACTCACGGGTGGTTCAAATAATCTTCCTTTTCCCTTTCTTTTTATTGTTTGCTTTCTCTCTTAAACTTAGGAGCTAATCTTCCCCAGATCCCTTAGTCTTGTTCCAACCTTGCACTTTCTTTTCTCCTTATGCACAGAATGCTATCCAGTTTCATTAGCCAAATTATCCCTTCTTTAAACAAAAGCCTTCTTGAAATATCATCTTCTCCACAAAAACAGGAGGTACAGACCTGTAACACTTTGCATTCTAAATACACAACTTCTAAGGCTCCCTAGCAGTAATATTTACTCCTTTATTCATGCTTTTATTAATCCGCTTTCCTTTCTTTTACAAGTCACTCATGCCTGTCAGAGCATTTCTCTTTGAGGACAAGACTGTATCGAACCACGTCCAGTGTGAACAGGGATGAAAGATGTGGCTTCTTGTTCCAGTTCTCTGGGTACATCTGCCATCTGACCTAAAGATAGCTGCTTCACTCAACCTTCTAGTCCATACAGTGAGTGGTGAGGGACAAAAGACGATGAAGAGAACAACTGGCATGCAGTGAATACTTAGGACGTGGTAGGCTGCAGCTAAGCTTCTTGAATGTATTCACTTAAGTCTTAAACAGTACCCTTTGGGGTGTGCCCTATGTTAAAGACAAGAGGATCCTGGGGCATACGAAGGTTAAGGAAGTTGTCCCGGTTAGGCAGCTAGCCAGAGATGAAACTAAGAGTTAAATACAATCATCTTCAGTGCTCTTAGAGCTTGCACATTTCAGACATGCTTTGGATAGACTGGCCAATAAACAAAGCCCTGAAAATGTATGGCGCTGTGTTAGAAAATAGGATAGTTACTAAAGTAGCATGCCTTGCTTTAATTTACAAGGAAAAAAGACTTTAGTACCCTTTACCTTTAAGAATAAAGATCTTTGGGAGGCTGCGGCGGGAGGATCATGGTGAGTTCGGGGCCAGCCTGGGCTACAAAGTCAGTTTATGGCCAGCCTGAACTGTGTACTTGAAACCCTCTCAAAAAGATTAAAAAGAAAAAACAAAAAACAGAATAGAGATCTGAAAAAATATCTTACAGACTGAAAAGGGATTAAAAAACAACTGTAATTTAAGATAAATCGATCTCTGGAAATGAATCTACCAGCAGTCTGGATAAGTCATGGGAAAAACACTATGGGTGATGAAACAAGATATAATGGAGTCATTAACTGCTGATGCAAAGAGGAAGGTATGTGGGGATTCTCTACCGTATTCTACCTCTGCAAAAGTTTGAAAGATTTTAATAAATAAAAGTTTTAAAATATAGATTTAGTTTAAAAATACCACGGACAAAGTGTCCTAGCAAACGCCTCCTAGCAGGAACTGAATTTCAGCTGTGCTGTCTGCATCACCCCAGCAGCTCTGTCTTAACAGTTGGCTGGAGGGCTATGTTCCAGTCTCCACGGAGGCCGCCTGCCCTCTTGGCAGCAGGGCGAGTGTCATGATGCAGCTGCCGTTGGCATGCTGAGAGCTGGAAGGGGAAAAATTATAAGGCAAAGAGTAAGTCACAAAGAAAATGTGAGTCAAAATTCAAGGCCCCACAGCCCTAAACCTGCTCACCGGGTCTCTGGCTTGGCAGCCAGTGGAAGCAGAGGTGCGGGCTGAGGGTTGGAACAGGTGCACAAGTTCCCGGGCAAAAAGCAGCCCTCTCTCTTAGACACAATGTCTTGTGATTTTTTTTTTTCATTTGCATAATAAAATGGGTCTTTAACAGGAAGAATTAGTATGTTAACTACAATGGAGCAAGAAGAAAAGAATCAATTAACCTTTTGGTTAATAGCCAAATTCTAGAAAATTACTTCAAATATTATGTGCATAAAGTAGGATCATTATTTTTGTCATTAGTCCTGTTCACAGAACTGCTGCTATGATAATGGCTTTGAGTACAAGTTCCTTCATATAACCTAGCTTTAATACTTCTTTTTTAACTTCGCACCCACCCTTGCAT